GTGTTTCGTTCTGCTGTGCATGGGGTCGCTATGAGTCGGAAACGACTCGATGGCACTTAACAACAACAACAACACATTGCTAGAAACTGAATCTTTCTCTTACAGAAGAAAGACACCATACACATTGTCTAGCAACTAAATCTCTTGCCCTTGAATTTTGAGCATGGTTCAAAGCAGTGCTGTCCCTCTCAAGGATGGTGTCACTATACTCAAACGTGGCAACACCCCACTCAAAGATGGCAGCCAGCTATACTGCTTTGACGTATGTTACTTAGCTGCAGTCCTTCCAATAATCCAGTAACATGCAGTGCGCTCTTGAAAGTGCTCACTATACCTCTTCCAAGTATCCCACTCCAGGACTTAAATCCATAATTTTTCCCAAGCTGAATACTGTGCTGAATCTGCCAAATTGAAAAACTTCAAGCCTGTGACTGTTTCGCTTTGTCAGCCATGACAGCACTGGTTTAAAGGACAAATAGGATTTGTTCATAAGTTGGATGTTTGTAACCCAGGGACTGCCCATTTTATAACCAGAAGGGGATACACATGAAGAAACACACAGGTCTTGCTCTAGCAGGGGTCTGAACACTACCATTATCTGCAAGGATATGCCACCCTCACACCAGGCTAGGAAGCCAAACTGATTCTGTGTTCAGGGCCTTTTATAACAATGCATATGCATGATTGTGGCTTCAATTCATAGTCAGGATAAATCATATCAATTTATTGCATTGTGTTCCCTTCTTTCTTTCCTAAGATTAATTTCCAAGTGTTGTGTGTAGCCCCTACTCATTTGCACAATTTCTGGGTGGTTTCTGGAAATTTTACATAATAAAGGCACCTCAATTTATGGGGAATTCCAAGAGTTATTTTCAGGAACTGTACACTAAGGCCAAATTATTCTGCATCAGTATTTTGTGATCTATCTATGTGGGCCACTTTTATTCATGTGTTACGCTGGGAGGTTGTTGGGCCCTTTCACTCTGAATACTTATTCTTCAATTATTGGAAATGTTCTTGATAGATTTCTTTTAAATTTTCTTCCTCCCATTTCTAAAGTTGTTTATTTCTGGAATTCTTATTATTCAGATATTGGATTTGTTTTGTTTTGTTTTCCTCCTCCTCATTCTCCATCTCGGTCTTTTTCACGTTTTTGTTTTTGTTTTTTTTTTTTTCTTTTTCTTTTCTTCTGCTCAATTTTTTTGAGTTTTTCCTATGTTACTTTTTTAAAAAAAAAATTGATTTGGTCTCTGTCTTTTCTAAGACAGAGGCCTACTTCACACAACTAGTGATCCTTGGTTGTCTGTCTGCTTTAACAGTTAAGTACCAAGAAGCTGAGATGAATACCTTCTATGTATAAATAACAGTTTATACTCATCTGGAGCCCTTAAAAGAAGGTTCTCAGGCAAGGGCAAACTGTTTTTTGTAAGTTCTCTCAAGTAGGTTTTTACTTGTGAAATAGTTGGGTCCCTAGAAAGGAACTGTCCAGTCTCTTGTTTGATGGTGTCAGCCTGACTTGTATCCTGCAAGTCAGTACGGATGGGAGCTTGTTATTTCTCTGTTTAATGTAAAGACTTTCACATCAGCTTCTGTTTTCAGTGTGGAGCCTCACTTCTGCCCTTGCAGAGATTGATATCCCTAAGTCTCAAGTGTCTAGTCTCTCTGGTTCAGCCTCTCTAGAGGGTACATATCCTAGCTTCTCCAGGGTTGAGGAAGAGTACCTTTCTCTTTGGGTGGGAATCTGGGGCTCTAGATCAGGGATTGTCAAACATTTTCTATAAAAAGCCAGAGAATAATAAGTATTTTAGGCTTTGAAAGCTACATAATGTTCTCTGTCAAATATTTTTCTTCTCCTCCTTCTCCTCTTTTAACTTTTCCTCCTCTTATTCCTATTCTTCCTTCTCCTTTACAATGCTTTAAAAATATAAGAACAAAAACATTTTTACCTTGCAGGCAGTATAAAAATGGACCATGGCTAAGACAGGTTAACTGGTCTAGATCCTTTTAAGACACTCTCAGCTAACCATCTTCATTTCAGCCCTCTTCTGCACCCTTGCCTTCAGAGGAACTTGAAGCCTCCACTCTCTGATCTTTCTTGGGATTATAGCAGAACTGGGTATTTTCTTATAGATACTCCCCTCTTTACTGCCTCCCCCATTGAAGCAATCCCTTCACAGGTCTGCTAGATGAACAATGACTTGTTCATTTTCTTTCCATTTTCTGGAGGGTCCCCCCCCCCCGTCTGCCATCATCTCCTTTCTCTGTGTTGTTATTAGATTATGTCTCCCCTGCCCCCTCAATTTTCCATCCATTTACTGGGGCTTTGACAGGGAGTGGAGATAAATGCATGTGTTTAATCTTCTAAGTTTAACCAGAAGCTCCCCCCATATCTAATTTGGTTGGTTTTTATTTTTACTGCTTTCTTTGATAGGGCTTGGGTTAATTTTGCATTTGTTCTCCACGTGCTCACTTGTTATGCCAGATGTTCAAAGAAGATGTCCTTGGGGAAGAAAAATGAGTGATTTTAAAATGTGATGTTTTCAAAATGCTCACAATAGTTCAGTGCGTGAGATCTCAGGGAGACCCGGCTGTTTCTAACCACCAGACTCTCATAATAGAAATAGAGTTTCACCCTTATTTGTGTAAACTATCAGGAGCATTTTTAAATGTTTGTAATAAAGCTTGTGGCTTATTGTTTAAAATTTAATTTAAGGTAGTAAATCAAAGCTTTTGGTGGCATGCCCCTGACAGCAGGGAGAGCCTAGTAAGTGATCCCTAAGAGCTGATCAAAGGGAGACGTTGAGTATTTTTTCCTATATTTGTGTTTTGGTCCTTTAATCTGGTAGTGTTTCCAATTCTATTATGAATACAGTAATGTACACTCAGTCCTCAGCTCGAGTCTTCTTGGCGGCGTCTGGGATTGTCTCTGCCAAATGGCCCTGTTCGGGTCTACGCTTGCCTTTGCCATCAAGTCTGTACATGGTAGGAACAATAGTGATTGTCAGAAAATGGATATCTTTCAAGATCTTATTTATACCACATATCTATCTGTTCCAGTAATCAAATGAGAATTGAGAATTATAAAAAGTAAAATTCACTGTTAAATGACTACTAGTTCTTTTTGTCTAGGTTCACCTTTCCTTGCCAGTGAAGATGGTGTGCTTGGGGGAGTGATTGTCCTCCGGTCTTGCCGATGCTCTGCAGAGCCTGACTCCTCACAAAATAAGGAGCGACTTCTAGGTAAGTTGAAAATATATGTGTATATAAATCTATCTATCTCTATCTACCTATCTATTTCCATATATATATATATATATATATATATATATATATATATATACATAATGTGTAAGTCTCATTTTTTTGGAGACATGAAAAAATTTATACACTTAAATCAATAATTTTAAGTTATGAGAGGGCAGATGGTCTCTTTTTATCTTAGTATCTTTAGTCTACTGTATTTTTTCTTTAGGTAAGCATATAAAAGATGAATGTTCATTTTTAAGGACATAGTTTTTGAATAAACTTAGAACCTTTACTAAAGTTCAGTATTAATAATATTGGGCCAAAGCATTTGAGGTGACCCATAACAATATACACAGTAATACAGAAAGAAATCTTTTCCTGATCTCCATTCCCAAAAATGTATCAGAACCATGCGAAGAATAACTAGCTTAGAAGTCAGCCCTGGCTCTTCTACTTATTGGCTTTGACGCCTGTGTGGGACAGCCTTACTTTTCCATGCTGCCTCCTCATCTATAAAATAATGACATCTGCCCTTCCCTCCTCATAAAGCTGTGGGGAAGGAGGGTCAAATGAATATTTGCAGACTTTCAGATGTCCATCCAGATGTGGGTTAATGTTTAGCCTTGCCTCTTCAAACCTTGTGGTGTGCCTTGTCTAATTCATCCATCCAGAAAGAGCACTTTTTAAAAATTTACACAAAGGTGCCACATAAGCTAGTAGGGGCCTCAATGTATTATTATTATTATTATTATTATTATTATTTTAAATTATCTTTTTAATTGAAGTATACATGCTATATAAATCATAATTGCAACTGCTTGAATTGTCACTGATTTAGTCAATACCCAGATGAAAAATAGAGCTACCAGAACTTCTAAAACTTCCTTTGCTCCCTCCCAGTCTCTATCACCTCCAAAATTAAGCACTATCTTAACTTCTAACACCATGATTACTTTTGCCTAGTTTTGTATGTTACATAAATGGAGTCATAGAATATGTACTATTTGTGCCTATTTTTTTCAGTAAATTTTATGCTGTTAGATTCATACATGTTACATATAGCAGTAGGTGTTCATTTTCATTGCTGTGTAGTATTCTGTTGTGTGAATACACTATAATATATTTGTCCATTATTCAGTAGGCCATCCCCAGGGGCAGTAGTAATTCAACCTTTTGTATAATTTTCCTTAAAGGAAGTTTGAAGGTACTGATCTATAGGATGGTTGTGAATTGTTATAATGCAAGTCCCTTCACAACCTGAGGCTCTATGAATATACAAAATAGAAGACTGGTTATTTCTTCATATACAAACTATTTTTTATGTAGAAGCCCAGAGAATTTTGTTAAAACCTTTCTCTTACTCCTCAAAGCAAAAAAAAAAAATATGCACGTCCCTGTCAAAGTCCTCTTTTTTCACATAGAGTGACCAGCAAGCTCATTGTGTTTTGTGTGTGTGTGTGTGTGTGTGTAATCTCTCTCGTCTGCACACTGTATATGGTACCCAGGTTGCTCCCCAGGAAATTATTTCTTTTAATAATTTATTGTTGTTGAGAATATACACAGCAGAACACACACCAATACAATAATTTAAAACTACAATTCAGTGATATTTATTATATTTTTCAAATTGTGCAACCATTCTTACCCTCTTTTTCCTAGTTTTCCTCCCCCATTAACATAAACTCACTGCCTCCTAAGTGTAAGTTACCTATCTAATTTGTTGTGCTGCTGTTCTCATATGGATAGTCAATATTGCTTGGGTTTAAGAAGACTTCAGAGATATTTTTGGTTTAAGGTTTAAAGATTATTTCAGGGCACTAGTTTCAGGGGTTCATCCAGCCTCTGTGGCTGCAGAAAATCTGGATTCTATAAGAATTTGTTTTCCCCCGTTTTGATCAGAATTCTGCTATAGATTCCTTGATCAAAATATTCAGTAATAGTAGCTGGGCACCAGCCAGTTCTTCTGGTCTTACAGCAGTTGTTCATAGAGGCAATTAGCCACACGTTCCATTTCCTCTTCCTTTTTCTGACTCTTCTTCCTGTATTGCTCCAGGTGAATAGAAACCAATTGTTGTGCCTTGGATGGCCACTCACAAGATTTAAAGATGCCAGGTACTATACAGCAAACTAGGAGGTAGAAGAGAAGCATGAAACACATTATTAGGCCTCTAAACTGGGATGGTTCATGAAGCCTTGAACCTAAACCTCGAAAACAAGTAACCAAATCCCATGAGGTGATTTGTTGTACATAAATAGCCTCAGCAGCTACTATTTTTTTGTGTTGTTGTTGTAAATATATCTCTCTCACAAGATTTGCCAGTTCAGCTATTTACAGGGTATACAACTTATTGACAGCAATTCTAGTAATTGGCTCTGCAACCTTACCGTTAATCAGTACAATTTTTCCATCACTGTAAACTGAAACTCAGTACTCTATAAGCAATATTGTTCCGCATTTCTCCTCCCTCCAGCCCCTGGTAAACTTAATAAACTTTCATCTTTGTACATTTGCCTATTCTTTTCTTTTTATATAAGTGGGGCTATATGATATTTGTCATTTTATGATTGACTTATTTCTGTCAAATTAGTCTTTAAGCTCCATCAATATTGTACCATATATCAAGACTTCATTTATCTTACTGACTGTGTGGTATTTCATTGTATGTATGACCACATTTTGTTTATTCTTTTATTTGTTGATGGGTGTTAGGCTGGGTTTTTGAAAACAAAACCCATTATTGTTGAGTCGATTCTGACTTGTAGCAACACTGTAGGACAGGATAGAACTGCCCCATAGGACTTCTAAAGCAGTAAATCTTTACAGAAGCAGTCTGCTACTGCTTCTTTCTTCCAGAGTGGCTGCTGGGTTCAAATCACCGACCTTTTGGTTAGCAGCTAAGTGCTTTAACCATGACATCACCAGGATTCGTAGAGGAACAAAACTATATATATATATATATATATATATATAGTATGTACATGTATACAGTTTACTGGTTTTACTCCTCTAGAGAACCCACCCAAACACATTTGGTACCAAAAATACAGGGTCCTGCTCTAACATACCTAAAATGTGAAAGTGGTTTTGGAATTGGGTAATGGGCAGAGGCTGAGAGAATTCTAAGGAACCTAAGAGTAAAAGCCTAGATTGCCTTGAAGAGATGGTTAATAGAAGTATGGATGTCAAAGGCATTACTGGTGAGACATCAGATGGAAGTGAGGAGAGCTACAGAGAAAGTATCATCTTAGAGAATATGTATGTTGTCAGCAACAGAAAGTCTGTAGAAATGTAAATGTTAAATATATTTCTGATGAGGCTTTAAAAGAAAATGAAGAACACATTGGACAGTAGAGGAAGGATGATACTTTAGATGCAGTGGCAAAGAGCTTATCTGAATTATGTTCAAATGTTTGTTGGAAGGTAGAATTTGTAAGTGCTGAATTTGCCTCTTTGGCCAATGAGATTTCTGAAAGTTTACAGAGCAAATTCATTTACCATAGGACAGTTCCAATACATCCTGTTTCATGGCATTGATTACAATCCTTACAATATAATAGCTTTCTTCCCACTTAATCCCTGTGGTTACCTTTCCCTGTGTCCTTCTTCCTGTGCATTCCTACCCACTGAGCTATCTCCCTGTGCAAACACTACCCTTCTGATCTCCCTTGAGTGATTGTTCTAAGGTATGTACCTGCCTGGTGTAAATGTTCACCTATTATATGCCTGTCTGTTTAGCTGGAAGCCATGGGAGGGAGTTCAATTCCAGGCCTGAAGGGTAACTAGGGGACATAGTCTTAGGGATTTCACCAGGTACCATCAGACCTGTAAACTTCATCTTTTTATGATTTTGATTTTTTTTCCACATTTTTCTCCCACTCTATCCAGGATCTCCTGCACTGATTCCTTTCCGAGTGGTTGACAGTGGTAACTGGGCACTGTCTAGTTCTTCTGGTCTCAGGGTCATATAGGCTGAGGTTCACATGGCCCACTAGTCCCTTGAACTAATTTTTCCATGCATCTTTGATTTTCTTCATTTTTCTTTGCTCCAGATGAGGAGAGAACAGTTATTGCATCCAGATGGCCACTTGCAATCTGTTAAGACCCCAGTCGCTACTCACCAAAGTAGGATGTAGAACAGTATTTTTGTGTAGTATATTAAGCCAATTGAGGTTAGTGTCCCCCACAACCATGGTTCCAAGCTCAGAGACCCAACAGTTTGCTCCCTTAGGGTGGATGGCAGTGCCTAAGAAGTTATCATAATTTTGCCCCATTTGTTCTAATTATATGGACATTCTTATAGCACATACAAATACATATACATAAATATCATTTGTCTGCCTTATAAATGATCATGGGTATGTTCCATTTTGCTTAGACATTCAGCCTGTTGACCAGTGTATCCACTGTATCCACTGGTAGATTAATCTTTGTTACTATTGATAATGCAGTATTGTGTATTTAAAAATGTTTATCTTTATTGTCTGTACCTCTTGTGCACCTCGCTTTGTCTCCCTTTACCCCAGTGTTACTGTGTTTGGTAACTCACTTTTGGTATATTGCCTTCCCCTTCAAACAAATCAATACTTGTCTCTTACATATCTAATAGTTTTCCCTCCCCTCCCATCCTATCCCTGGTAACCAACAAAGAAAGTTTCCTTCTATATGTAAACTTTTCCTTGACTTTTTAAAGTAGTGGGCTAATACAATGTTTGTCTTTCTGTGATTGACTTATTTCACTTGGCATAATGTCCTCCAAGTTCATCCACATTATGAGGTGCCTCACAGATTCTACATTATTATTTAGTGTTGTATAATATTCCATTGTGTGTATGTACCATAGTTTGGTTATCCATTCCTCTGTTGATGGACACTTAGGTTGTTTCCATCTCTTTGCTATTGTGTATAGTGCTGCAGTGAACATGGGTGTGCATATATCAATTCACGCCCTGGCTCTCCCTTCTTTAGGATATATACCTAGTAATGGCATTGCAGG